TTAAACTTAACTATATTTTAAGTGGGGTAGAAAATATGGAAATTCTCAGCTAGCAATTAGAATGTCGCCAGTAAATGTTGGCGACAGGCATATTTGGCCCCGTTTCTTTCGATACGTTGATTTTGTGGAGGGTCTGTTTCCTGAGTTTTCACCAATGGGTTGAATTTAGGGGGTTGCTCCGTGGATAGAGTTCTCATCTCCCAATGAGGTGTTCCCGATCACAGAGAAGGCTGATCGATACGAATTCCATACCCGCCTCGAACCGACCATAGTGTTGACATAAAATATCCTCAGTGGTGAACTGATCATGGGTTAGAGTCCCGCTAACCGTGGGAGAGTTATGTGGTTTTCTTCTCCATATAATGCAGATGCGCTTTTTTAGTTCCATCAAAAAGTCCTCCGCGGAAGTGAATTGCACACAATACTTGGTTCAGGAGTTCCCCAGTCTTGTGGATTGGGTTCAAAATTAGAAGGCTATGGAGTTGAACATTGATAGTCGTAGACATCAAAATTGGGTCGGCTGTTCAACGACGGGGTTAAAATAAAATGAAATTAGAGGAGGGGGGGTGTTTTGAGTTGATTGGCCAGTGGGTCACGAATAGGAGAAAAGACACTGAAAATGATAGAAAAGAGTTGGACACTAGTTTTTTCAATGAAAGAGATGACAAAAGCGATAGTAAGTTGGAAGATGGTTTGAAGAAGAGATGAAGACGCTCTGGTGTGTATGAAAGCCTAAAAAAAAAAGAGTTGAAAGATGTTGTGAGCATTGAATGCGTTGATATTTGATTAATGAAAAGTATGAGAAATTTAAAGGAAGACTATGAACGTCTGAGGTATTGAAAAGATCAGTTAAAATTTACAGAAGAGACTCCATACCTTCTGTTGGAGTCATTGGTGATATCGTTTTTCAGTCCTTTATATTGTTTTCTCGTTTACTTAACTTTGGCTTGCTCCCTTCCAATTAATTATTTTTAAGTAAATTCTAATATAAGTATGAAAATTGAATTAAACAAAAATAAAAATCAGAATTTCAGTAGAGCACCGATTATTCGGACCCATCGGAACCAAAGCTGATCCAGATAATTGGACAACTTTAAAAAACGGCCGTGAAGCTGCTTTTAAATAACTTCCCCTTATTAACACTTTTTTCCTGGCTTAGGATTTTAAGAAATATTCAATATTGTTTTGATTCTATCGTTTCAACTGTATAACTAACTCAATCTTAAATAAACTAAATAAAATAAAATCTAAATAAACTAAAGAAACAAACTCGAAACGTTAAAAAAAGAAATTGTCAAGTCATACAATGACGTCATGAAACAACCCAAAACTTCCGGTTAGTTTTTTTTTTTTTTCCCCCTTTCAGGATCGATGGTGAATATTTTGTTGGAGGAATTTAAGATCTTCTTCAATTAACCTGTACTATTTCATTACAATTTTTGTAACTTCGTTATTTGTATTGATTGTAACTTAATAAAAATTTTTATTTAGTAATATATAATTTTAAAAAACTGTTTTTTGTTTTTATCAACATCTATGCACTTTGGGGTTAAAGAAATGTGCACAATTTTATTAAATCTTTATTTTGAAAGAGTATTTCTTGGAAAAGAGAGCCCCCTCCCCATATCCATTAAATGAAATCAAAGGGATTCAATATAAGTCATTCAAATGTCAAAGAGGCCTCTTCAATATCGCTGATTTATCCAATTTGGTTTTAGTTTTTATCTCGCATCCATGTAGAAGTCAACTTTATTACATTTTAATGTTAAAAGAAAAAAAAATGCAAATGGTATACGAAATGATGAATTTGCTGAAGTTCAAATCAAGTGGGATTAAACTAAGAACACAAAATTAAAAGAAATATTTTAATTATTTATTTCAAGTAATCTTATAGTATGATTTTTCTTTCAAGTTCTGCTCGAAAGAAGAATTAGTCATTAAATGTGACTTAATTTATTTTGTTACAATTTTAAATATTCTTTTGTGATAAATATAAAAGCAATCTATTTCGAACGGGTAAAGTAAATGTAAATAATGATTTTGTCCAATAAACCTGTTTAATAATGCATATAATCCCTGTGGCGAAATTTTTTCGAGCTATCTGCGACCCCAACTCTGAAAAACTAATATCTTTCTGCAAGATACTCTTTATAATAACAGACATATAAGTTATTAATTTAAAATAACAAAAGCGAAGTTTACAAAGAAAAAAAAATTTTAATATATTTTTTTAATTGAACTTGTAATATTTTTTTTGACTCATGGGTGATATTCTTGCATTTTTTTGGGGGGGTGGGGGGGAACGCATCTATTATTTCCTTCTTCGCATTTTGTAAATGAACTTCACAATAAAAAAAAATTTTAAAATCCATGAAATCCGTAGTAGTAATTGCCGAAAAAAAGATGGACGATGAATCGGTCTTCTCAAATGCGTGTTTCGTTTTTCGAAATTGTGTTGTTGTAATAAATAATATCAATTAAAAACTATGGAGAATTAATAGCGATAACCGCCAAAAATTCGATAGAATTATTGCCTTAAAATGTAAATACTCAAATGCACGATTCAAATTTTCCATTTTGTTTGAAATATATCGAGACATTTAAAAACCACGTGAAAATCAATATCAATAACTGCCGAAAATACAATCGAAACATGACACCGATTTACGATACTATCGGCGTAAATTCAGAGCGTCAAAAATGCATGATTCAATGCATGATTAATGCATGATTCAAATATTACGTAATTTTTTACAGAAAAGAAAAGTAAAATTGTTTGCCTTTTTCAAAAGAAAAATCTTTCCGCAAAAACTCTGTAATGTTCTGCGACAATGTCGACCTGTCGCTGCGATTCGGCCACGAGGTATATAAATAAATAAAAATTTTATTTGATTGGAAAATTATTTTAATTTTTCATTATTATTATTTAAATAAAAGATCAAATTAACTCTATTAAATACAAAGCAAATATACCACCATAGAATATTTACCTATCCACCATATACGACACGTATTGTTCAACTTATAAATTTCGAAAGTTGTAGTATTAAACCCAACTCCAACTCTGAAAAGCCTGATTTGTGTATCGCAACTGACCAGTCATACGTGAAGAACTTTTTAATGGAACCTATACGATAATCGTTACATGAATAGAAAACTTCAAATCCTGAATAGAAACAGAATTAATTTATTCTACATTGGAGATCTCGAACCTATGGCTCGCGGGTGATTAGGTGGCACGTGACAGGTAACTTTAATGTCAATGGCTATCATAAGCGTAATAAAAATAAAATTTGGATATCATTATGACATTTTCCAGGATGTCAGACTGACTATAGCACCCCCGGTATTATTGGAAGTTCTTGTTTTGGAAAATATGTGTAAAAAAATTAAAATATCTAACATTAATTGCTTCAATTTCAATTGCTTGATCTTTGGTAACTCATGGGATGGAGTGTTCGTCTCTCAGGTTCAATCCCAGCGTTGTCTGGTCGATTCTAATTCTGCTCCCGACTGTCACCAACCACAGTGCTGGCTTAAAATATTGTCAGTGGTAGACGAGTCATGAGTTAGAATTCCTTTGCCGTCGTAAGAGGTTTCCATGCTTTTCCTTTCCATGTAACGCAAATGTGGGTTAGTTCCATTAAAAAATCCTCCACAAATTCTAGTTCGTCCTCCAATGCTTGATCAAGGAGTTCCCTTGTCTTCTAGATTGGATGTCAAAATTACAAGTTGAATATTGATAGTTGTATACTCAGAATTGGATCAGCTGTTCATCAACGGTTACAAAATAAAATAAAATTTCGATTGCTTACCGCAATGGTTTCCCGCTTTAGAATATTTTACCTAAACTTATATTTAACTGAAATATTTTAAAAGTGCTGTTTATTCAAGTTCCGTTTAAAACAATTGGTAACTTAAAAGCAAATATTGTTACATTATGTGATTCTATTGTTAAACGATATAAAATTTATTTTTTAAGAAGAAAATTTACTCTAGGCACCCGGAAATAGTTTTTCTAAACTGGCACACTTATCGGAAAAGGTTCGGCATCTCTACTCTAGACAAAGCATATTTTGTGTTTCTTATTTCGTTACTATTTTAGTCGGAACAGGCAAATGACTATACAAGTTAAGAAAAGACCATTGCGGTATAGGATTTAAGTAATCTTCCGTGACTGCATATAGTTTCGTTATCAAATTTTAAAAATATGCGTTCAGAACACTATAAAGGCTAAACACATCAGACAGAAATTTATTTAGTGCTATCTTTTACGATATATATCTTAAAATTATTAGAAAAAGGTTGCAGTTTGGTAGTCTTACAGGAATCCTAGACTTGGTAGTATATTTTGATAAATAAGGAGAACATTCATTCTTGAAAAAGAAACAACTATATGACGTTGTAATAGCATTAAATTTGATTGGACCACTAAAAATGGCGCGTTTTTTGCTGACAAGCTCTTTACAAATCAAATGCGAGGTAAAGAATTTTAATTTTGTTTTGCAAGAAACAATATTTATTATTCTTCCATCAGTTTCTTTAAAAGCGAACAGAAAAACGCACATTTGTTACCATTTTTAGATACCGTTTTTATTAATTGCTATTACTTGTTAATTATGTTATTGTTATTATGTCTTATTATTGTTGTTAATAACTGTTATTATTATTAATAAGAAAGCAAGCAAAAAAAGACTGTGCAACGTCGTTTCAAGAGTTGATATTGATATACGTTTGCGCTGGGAGCTTGGCATCCATTCGGAGTGTACTTAGACGCGAACAAGCTCTCTGAAATATTTCATAAATTTATCAGAACATGTCTGTCTAAAATAGTAACCGCACCATTTTAAAATGTGTGATGTAATACACACGAAATATACATCTTGTTATTTTACTTCCCAAGCACCACCATCAGAGGGTAGCTATTTATTTACACCACTTCATATATCTGTTTTATAACGTATTTCAAATTGATTAATTTGTGTACGTTTTTGTTTCAGAAAGAATCCAAAAGTAACTTGTTGTGAACATCAAAAAGTGGATCCAAGAAACTCTATAATTCCTTATACTAAGTTCGGTAAGTACTTTCAAAATTAATTTTTTTTTAATGTAATTATAATCATCGCAATCTAAATGTTTTGTACGGAAACAATTTTTTAGTGTTTTATACACTTAAAAATCAGTCTATATATGTTATATCCCGAATGACCGACTACATCAATGTTTATTTAAGGCCACTGCCCTGTATGTATTTAACCGGTACTCCAAGCACTGGTGTTTCTCTTAATGTATCCTCAGCTGATATTAAATATAATAATAATGAAATATCAAATCGGATGCAACAAATATTTCGGACATTCACCAAAGCGACTATGTGATTGTTGACATTCATCGGTGAAAGTCGACAGATTTCGGTCATTCACGGAAGCATATAATATGCATAACTTAGTATCAATCTCTTTGTCTTTTTTATTTTAACATACGAGTACAAAAAAATAAATAAGGATGATTTTTCGTGTCTATTTCGCGATGCGCATCACGGTGTGAAAAATGATGCAACAGAATAACGAAATTAAGCAGAAATGTGAAACAAGTGCTCACGACTCAAAATACGTTTTTTTTTTTTTTTTTTTTTTTTTGTTGAATTATTTAGGGGTCATTTAAGGGGAAATTTCAGTTCATTAATGAACACTTCCCAACAAACTTATCGTTTAAACTAGCCCTTCTTAAATTATTATCACATAAAAACGGGCTCTTTACAGTATTGGTCATTTTAATAATGGATCCTTTACAAAATTCATCTTTTGTAAAAAGAAAGTTTAATAATCCATAATCGTAAAAATGAAGCTCCTTGTATGGCATAGTTTTTCCTAATATTCACACACACAAAAAAGGTCCAGACAGATCCCTGTTTTTTGCAATTTTTCACACAAACACTTATAATTTCTTTCTGAAATATTTTCACAAAATTGTGAGTACAAATGTTCACAAAAACATGACACGTTACAAAAAGTTTAAAATATTCCTAGCTATTTTTTTACCATGATAAGGAACAGTAACGTTCATTAATTTTAGTGCACCCATTTGTTTTTCAAATAAATTGTACAGTTTTTTTTTTCCAGATAAATACAAAATACACCAAGTATGAAACTCTCGCATAAATATGTAGTCATTTTTTTAATGAGGCATACACAACAGAATTTTGTGTACTCTACATTATGTACACTAAATTTTATGTATGCATCCACAACAGAATATTCCCATAATCTAAATAATTCCCTGTAAAAGCTAATTCCACCCCACATATTTGGAGCAAAATATTGGTCCTTTGATCAACATTCAGGATCTAATATTATTCCACCTACTCATCACCTCTCATAGATGATTTCCTCTTGTAATATTTATATCTTTATTGAACTTGTATAAATAGGATTCTCACCGCTTTATATTATGTAAAATACATACGATTTTAGGTCATTTCATGTGTATTTTGCTTATTACAAGCAGTGATCAATAATAAATGTTTACGTTTTTTTCGGTAACACAAAGGTATTTGAAAATTTTTTATGATTTATATTTGATACATAAAAAAATAAAAGCGTTTCCATTAGCAACAACTGCACGAATATCACATTAAAGACCCGCCGTAGTTGCATACTTGGGATTAAAAGGGGGGGGGGAAACTATGGCGTATTAAAATTAATGAGTAGTAGCGTATGTCTCTAAGAATTTTGTTTCAATTTTTTCATACTTAACTTATTATTTACGCTTTTAGTATTGGGCATAGTTAAGATAAAACAAGTTTATTTTAAATAATTTTTCGATCACTAAATTACAGTGGCACTGATGACATAATAATTTGCAAACAGACTTCAATATTTTTTATCTCACAATCGATTAACATTTTCCTTAAAATGTCTGTCGTAAAAATATTTTTTCCCTTGATCATTTTCACGCCTTTTTTTCCCCCTTCTTTTTCCTACTCTTTAAGGTTTTTCACGTTTTCATAATTTGGGCCGGGATTCGAATCATGTTCTGTCGGATATTGGGTCCCCGTAAATGTAGGAAATGTTGGTGAAAAATCGCTTTCCTCGTAAAACAGATTTCTCCTCGCTAACGGCCCATTTACGGCCCAAAGGATATCCAGAAAACCCCCTCCCCCCACTAAGGGGGGATAGACTCCCGAAATGGCCAAAAATCTCGTTTTACTGTAACGATTTAGAGTCGTAAGTCACCTAAACGGCCATTTTGTTTTCCAGGCTGTGATGCGATGAGAACCTTTTCAATATCGGTGCACCATTTTCTTCCGCTGCTCTGATTGAAGTAATAGTATGGCGTCATGATGAAGGAAAATCGGTTAGAACTTGGACCCATTTTATTTGATGAAGTCCTGATGCATTTATCCATTTAGTTTATTGTGTAAATAAGGTCCACTTTCGCATAATGATCCCCTAATAGCGAGAATAGAGTTTATGAATCTTCTTCGGAATAAACTTGATATTCCAAGTAGTTCGTATAATGTGTTTTGAAGGAATTATTTATCCCTTTTTTTATTGCTCTGAGAATTTAATGGTAAATTTTTATTAAAAATCTGCATTTCCTTGCTTTCTAATTTGTTATATGCTTTACTTTAAAATTTTTATATTGACCGTTTGACAGTTGAAGGATAATAATTTTATGAAAAGTAATTTTTTCGATTAGATTTTGTTTCATAAGAGAGCTTTGTGGACCGAAAATCTTTGTGGTTAAATGTTCGAAGTGATATTTATAAGGACTATCATGGGTCAGGAAAAAACTTGGAATTGTCAGGAAATTTTTTTTTGCCTCTTAAAAGCAGGAAATAGACAGGGAAAATTGCAATTTAAAAAAAAAAAAAAAATGCCTGGAAAACTCCTACTTTATACCTAGAAAATAACTAGTCTCAGAAAATTGTCAGTAGCAGTAATCAGTTATTGAGATTTGAGTTAAACGATTCTAACATCTATAAACAATTATTTGTTCCAAGCTTCTATCGTCATTCAATGATATTTCTTTGCTCACAAAATCAACTATTTGACATTACGAAATAAAAATCAAAGTTGTTTGATAAAAAATTGCATGGTACAGATAAAATATCTTTTGCATTTTCATTCAAATTTTTCTGATATACATGGTAAAGTCTGGAAAAAATTTTCCTGAAATTGAGTGGGAACCCTGTTTTTGAAAAAATCTTATTTCAGTCTTACTTGACTCTGTATTGTTATTATTTACTTTTACTAACATAAATTTTGCTAAACTTTAAATTTCGCAGATCTCAGTGGATAAATGTACTAATTAATAGTCTTTAAGTGTTTCCGGTGTTAAAAAAGGTTTCAAGCAGTCTTCGAGCAATCTTAAAGTACTTTTCTTTTGACAACAAATTAAAATGCTATGGCGTGAGTATATAACTCACTGTAACTATAACTGACTCTGTCTGTCTACAACGCCCTTCCCTCCTCTTCTTATCCTTGCGGAAAACTTGTTACTCAACCGTTTTGTTCTCCCGTTTGTTATATAATTGCTAATATCCTCTCGAGTTTGGTTTATAAAGTCATTTTTAAACCTATTAACAAAATATAATTTAAGTCTCTTAGAGATCCCATTATTTTTGATATTCTCTGGGACATTGACCACATTCGGTCAAACTAGACGCGCTTTATAAGTTAGACTTAAGGAACACGATAAATATGTCCGTTAGCAAGAATACCAAAAGCATTACACAATCAATCATGCACATTGTTAGAATCTTGTGCATAAATTCAATTTCGAAAATGCCAAAATTATTTCCACACCAGTCACACCAGCTCTTCTTGTTGCCCTAACATCTTAAATGAGCTTGATTTTTTTTTTTATAGAAAAGTTTACTTTCTTTGTCCAACACAATGTATTTATTAAATAAATAATCCCAAGAAACTGAAGCAGTATTACTTTACTTAATTAAAAACTTGATTCGCTTGCTTCAAAAATGTGCAAAATGTTTGTCGCAATTGTTTTATTCATATGAATGCTCATTCCCTTTTTAATGACATTTATTCCTCCTCCTGTGACACACCCTGATTTGCCCCTATCAGCTCTCTCATCTCTCACACCTTTATTTTGTCATTTTCCTTTTGAATCTTGGGTTGGTTTTATATTTCAAATCACTTTTGTACATTTTTCTTTTTTGTGTCTGGAAAGTCTTGAAAATGGGCGCTAGTGTTTGAGCGCTTGACGCATGTCGACCGTTTTGTATTTGTATATTTTGAAGCAAATGAAATTTTAAATCAAGTAACGTCTATGAATGTGAAAGATTTTTAAATTTTCCCAGTTGGAAGCTTGTGGACAAACAGCAATGACAAGGTGTATATTCTTTTCTAAATAGTGTCAACTCAATAAGATAATGTACTCAAAATTTCCCCAATTCACTCTTAAGTGTCTCTTATCCATTCAGCTCTTCAACTGTCATCGAAAAAATTCATTAAAAAAAATGAAGAGGGAAAAGAAATTTTATTTCTTGCTGAATTATTCAGTCGAGCTATCACCACCATTCAAAGTATGATAACAAAATCATCAACATAATGGGCAATTTATTTATAAGAAAACATTTTACTTTCCCTAACTTTTCTTAACCTGCTACTCAACATCAAGAGGGTGCATCGTCAAATCTGCTTTGTTCGCAAAACTGCTCGTGTCATTATTTTCAGATCGTCTCGCGATCCAACTTCTTTCCATTTTGCCTTTGGGAAACGCGAGTCTGCAGCGATGCGGTGACCCGGGTTGGATCCCAGCGGTGGCTGGTCGAAGCGAATTCAGCCTCCGACTTGCACCGATCACACTGCTGATGTAAAATATCCTCAGTGGTAGACGGATCATAGGTTAGAGTCCCCTTGCCGTCGGGCTAACCGTGGGGGATTTCCGTGGTTTTCCTCTCTATGTAACTCAAATGTGGGTTAGTTCCATCTAAAAGTACTCCACGAAGGCAAATTTCTCCCACTACTTGATCCAGGAGTTCTCTTGTCTTCTGGATTGGGTTCAAAATGACAAGGCTACGCAGTTGAACATTATCTGTTGTAAACCCTA